GGCTAAACAATGATATAGGCGATGTTCAAATTCCAGACGGACATTTTCAAAAACATGTCGTGGGATATTATGTCAGTTTTCTGTGATGCGTTGACAGAGTTCATCCAAACCTTTAGATTAGGGAGTAAACACAATATATAAATTTTAAATGGCCCCATAGATAAATGTCTAATGGCGTCAAATCAGGAGATCTAGCAGGCCACTCTATAGGCCCTTTTCGCCGTATGCATTTATCTGTAGACTAGGCGTCTAGCCATTGTCGAACCGGAAGATAAATAGTGAGGAGGAGCGCCGTCTTGTTGGAAATATATTTCAGCCTCAGCAAGTATAGGGCTTCCATCCTATTCGATTTGGTTTTCAGTGGTTTCAGTGATAAGCGGATTGATGGTATTTTCCAACATATCCAAATAAATGTATCCATTCAAATTTCCATTAATAAACAATGGCCGAATCACTTTGTTTCCTAAAATGCCTGCCCATGCATTATTTTTTTGAGGGTACTGAGTATGCCCTTCAACAAAAGCATGAGGATTTTCATTACTCCAATACCTGCAGTTATGCTCATTAACAAATTTAGATAAAATTTGCATTCATCACCGAAGCAGATATTCTTTACACGAATGGTATTATCACTAATCGCTGCAGTCATTTATTCACAAAACTCATCTCGTCTATCGAAATAATCTTCGATTAACTCTTGCAATATTTTCATGTTGAATGGATGTAATTTATGGAGTTTGGTAACTGTGTGTACAGAGCCTAATGAAATACCAGTCGCAGCAACAATTTTGTGTAATGAAGTATTTGGATTTATTCCAAAATGACCCAATACTTCAACTTGAGAGGCTTCATCCAAAACTCTCCGATGATCACGTTTTTTATTTGCAACAAGTTTTAATAAATTAAGTAACAACTTCCAAAACATACCTAAGGGAAGTTAACTTCCCCGAATGTCTGGCGTTAAACGTGATGGCATTTTGCCGAGCACACTGATTTTGGGCACCACAAATTAGAATCATTTCCACTCTTCCGTCTAGTGTGTAAACTATTTTGGAAGTAAAATCTGAATCAATAAATTAATTTTCACTATCCCAACACTGTCACAAAGGTAACTGATAGCAAATTAAATTATTTCTTTCCCTTAGCAACAAATAACTAAACAGATATAAAAACAAATATAGTTTGCCCAGGATATCTGTGATGATGAATAGAATGCAGAAAAAATTCTGGTTGTTATTTGGTGGTGCCCCGTCTAATCTACCTAACTTGCTGTTTATGTTCTTAGTTTCCGTTTTAAATTATAAACGAATTGTAGATTTGGCAAACCATAACGGGAAACATTTTGAACACTTATTGAAATAAAAAGTGATATTTTCGTGTGTTTTTGTTTTCTATCTGAATAAAGATTTTTCCAATTTTCTCGAAAACGAATCGATTGATTTTAAAAAATCAAACGTCAAAATAAAGGACTTCGAAAGGCCTTTCAAACAAGCTATTACTCGATACTCGTCTTTTAATTTTTTAAGGGAATGACCCTGGGGGCCGAGGGTGAAAGGGGGTGAAGTAGTTTTTGGTTAAAAACTTGTTCTCCTTGACATCATTTGATTTGTCTAGGCTTTTTTTTTCTTTTAATCAGTGGTTTTCGATAAATCAGTTTTCAAATATTAATAAAATAATAAAGATTCGTGACTCAACTACGCGAGTGACAAAAACTGGGATATTTTGCTCCCTACAGAAGTTCAAAGAGGAAATAGTTTTTGAAAATCTGCCCAGTGGCGGCGGAGTGGGGGGAGGAAAAAGGAAAAAATAAAAGGCTCCTGATCATTTTCGAAAATTCTGTTGTAGGGGTTGAAAATTGGAGATTGGGGTTTCTAGGAGGTTGTAAGTATCATGTCTTTAGTATCAGTCAAAGACGTTCTTCGCTGATTGCGGTAACAACGGGAAAAATAAATGATAAAGGTCTAATGTATAATCTGGTCATAATTCGAAATAACCTGCAATCGTTGGCGTTCCGTATGCGGTGTGAGGTCAACCCCTTGTCAATGATGACTCCAAGATACCTGACAGATTGCTCCCATGGTATACGAGCTCCATTCACTGATATCTCTGAGAGGGCACCGCGAAGTTTTTTAGTACAATAGATTGCCTGCGTTTTCGAAGTATTAATTTTGATCAACCACCGATCCGCCCACTCCAATACTTCCTCCACCGCACTCTGCAGCCTGTCGTGAACTAGGTTACCAGAACAAGACTGAGCTAGCAGTGCAGTGTCGTCAGCATAGAGATAGACTACACAGTTGATGTATATGAAGTGAATAAAGGATTGGTCGTAAGACCGAACCCTGAGAAACACCTCTCTTACGGGCCGTGGTGTTGACAACACATGTTGTTAATTTTGATCCGAAACTTCCTTCCTTCTAGAAAAGATTTCAACAGCTTTAGAAGCCAAAATGGAAAACCGTTTTGGATGAGCTTATACAAGAAGCCCATGTGCCACACCTTGTCAAATGCCTTTGATACATCTAAAAGCAAGATACCAGAACTTTTTTTCAGGGTGAACTCCCTGGTTACATGCTCCACAGTCTATCTGCCTGTAGCTCCGTACTATGCTCAGACCTAAAGCCAAATTGCACGTCAGGAATCACATGGTGATCTGACGAGATATTCTCAAGGTGACGATAAATCACCTTTTCAGCGAGCTTAGAAGAAGCTGACAGCAGGCTAATGGGACGGTAATCCTGGGGGAATATCGAACCTGCCTTCTTTGGGATCATGATGACTTCAGCGATCTTCCACGCCTTAGGAAAGTAATGAGTTTTGAGCATTGCATTGAATATTGCCACCAGATAAGTCAAAGCCTTGAGCAAAAGCAACTTCAGTGCTTTGTTGGTGATTTGATCTGCTCTAGATGCTTTACGCACCTTTAGGTCCTTAATGTGGCCTTGGAGCTCTGCTGGTGGGCAAAACGGAATCTCAGAGGATTCCGTTGATGTGCTATGCTGAGATTCATCTGAAGAGTCTTCGGTAGAAGAATCTTCTGAAAAAGAGTCGCCGATGTTAGCACTGATATTGATATCGCCATTCGCTCTGAAATATCTCCTGACAGATCTTACAATTTGTCGTTCCTCGTCAAGGTCATTGTCCAGATCATAATTGGGAGAGAACTGCCTTTCCATGACGTCAGCAAAAACCTCCACTTTATTCTCAGTTCTGAAAACTATGCCTCCAGGACCATGAATATGTGGTAGTTGTTCTTGCCTTCCGTTTCTGAGCGATTTTGCCACTTTCGAGAGAGGAATACTTGATTCAAGCATCCCCGCCAGAAAGTCTCTCCACCGCTCCTTGCAGAATTTATGGAGTGCATTTCTCACTTCATGGACGATATTCGTCGCTCTACGAATGTCATCAGGATGAGTAATTATTTTTATATCTACTCATATCGTTTTCTGAATTTTATGATCCTTAAATGTAGCCACCCGTTTCGCATAACCTTTAATTTGTGTTACTCAGTATATTTCGTCAAGTAGATTAACTCAGTACTTAATATGCATTTGTATACAACAGACACGGACTGACACACCAACATAAATGAGAAACACAAGCTTGTACTATGCAGATATCTTCAAGCAACAGAACTGAAATTCAAATATCATCGCGAGTTCAATATTTCCATCGTTTACGTAGTCGTAAATTTTGGAAAATGATTCAGTGGCGGCGGAACTAAGTATAAAAAATAAAAATCGCTGGAGCAATAGTGTTGTAACGTTTCAGAAATCGCTGCTCATTTTCAGACATTGTAGGGTTGAATATTGTAGGTCGCAAGCTGGATGCGGTAAATGGTTGTAAATTGTCGCATGGTAGGTGTCAGTGTGAGACCTTCTATTATTAAGAAGCTGCTGACATTATGCACCTATTATACATAATGAGTCACATACGTTTTTCCTGCATCTGTCATGGTAGCAGAGACATGATAGATTTATTTTATATAGTTTGACATTCGTCGTACCTAGAGTGAATCTACTTGACGCCATTTTTTTAAACACCTATTGCATTTTTCCACGAGTCTACATGGTGCTGAGAAACATTTGTTGATTCATTGAATTAGGAAAAAATGTTTTGATTATTTGGAGTGGACTCCGTTTGCAAAATCGTAACCCGTTCTACTTTGAAAATGCGCTCAAATTAGATATTTCACATTGAATATTGTGTACGGAATATTACGTGAGTGATTCCATTTCACCACAATGTCATTTGAAGAATATTCATGTTCTATTCCCGATCAGCGCCGTCAGTGGTGTAGAAATTTACATCACCCTGTATGTCGGCAATACTTTCTGTCCTAGAAATATTGTCTTTCAAACCGCAGTGTATTATCTTGCTGAATACTTGCGTGTTTCGCCTGTTACATGGGGCCACCACTACAACTCGACATATCAATAATTAATCTAATCATATTAGACAAAAATACCCCTGGTTTGCGAAATAAATAACTGAAAATCTTATTTGAAGAGTTTTCTCGTTCCTGCCAACACTTTTGATTGAATCCCAAAAAACACGTTTTCTCATTCTTTGTTGTCGAATAAAAAGTTTTCCCACAAAAATTGGTGTACGCCCTTGAACAACGTGCATCAAAATAACTAGGCTTTTCAATTATTTCGGGGAAATTTGCTAATATGATTAGACTAAATAGAGAACTGAGAACTTCAGTTTTCAAGCATCAAATAAACATTGTGCATTGATGGTTTAAAAGTTTATATACAATTGTCTCCTTTCAATTAGCTGGTAGAAGGAATACCAACAGAAATAGCGATACATTGAATAAGTTCAGCAATTTGAAATGCGTAATCGAGTAGTCACCCATATACATAATATATCTTAACATTTGCGCTTGTGTATTTTATTAATCTGATTGTTTGTTTTTTACATCGCCACCTCTTCCACCCAACAACAAATACAACAACATCGACAACAACAACAACCAAAACAACAATAACAATCAGGGCGACTCGAATGCGCAAAGAATAGCGTCTGCCAACGAAAGGGCGCACGTCCTTCTCAAGTAGACACTTCAAACACATTAAAAATTATTTGAGAAAACACCCCTTCTTCTTTTTAACTACAGACTATGTATGTTTTTAGTTTTTATTTTGTTTTCTTGCTTTCCGACGTGCTCTCAGTAGCTTAGCGCTTGCATGGTAGTACCAAGTCTCATAATGTGCAACGCACAGAGTATAAACTGTCGATTCTCAAGTCGATATAATTTCTCGGTACACAAAGAATATATTTGCTAAACAGTGGCGACGCGTGACTTTTCCTTAAACTGTTACCAAAACCAGATGTGAAAAATCTTATTAAAAAAAAGTTTATTTTGAACCTCACAAATATATGTTTTTGCTTATTTTAGGTGTTTTATTTAAACTATTTTCAAATTCCTGGACTGAGCGTCTGGGGCACTTGATATACCTAATCGTCTTATGCTATGACTAATCCAAGCCGTCCGAAAAAGTAGTCGACGTTTCTAGATCTTCGGAAAATTTTTAATCTTTTTTGGCAATGAATGTTAACAATTCCCTGTAATTTCCTTCGAAATGAACGGTAATTCCTGTTTTGCCAAAAAACATTCGATATCTAGAAGTGTGCTGCCTGAAAGCTTGTTTAAGACAACTTTCAACTCTTGTTTTGCCAAACTGAATTAAATTGGCTACACATCTCACATGTAACGGAGAAATTTCATGTCTCCTCTTTAGAGCCCTGAAACTATTTAAATCGTTGACTCCGCTGCTGGTCCACCCATTTTTTTCTGTATAAAACAGAAGACATCGCCAACAATACAATCTGTTTTTTTGTAACCACATAACCAAAAGTTTCCATCTACCAACTTAATTTAAAAGATCAAAGTACGTTTTTTTATTCTTTTTTAAAATTATCTAAAGTAGGTGTTGGTCTTCCATTTTCAATGATATTGCACGCACACTACATCCAGTAACCAAAACGGTTACTAACGAGTGAGAAACCAAATCAAAAAATGGTAACAAGCCCACATAATAGTCGCAGCGCCCACGATCAGACACGAGCCGGTACCGACGGTCCCCGACAGACTACCACGTCTATCCATAAATGAAAATGGTAACAACCGACAACCAAGTCGAGACGAGTCATAAAATATTTATTTTTAAGATTTTAAACTGTTAACAATGGTTACATGGACGCTTCGCCACTGTTGCTAAATTAATAAGATTTGGATAGCTCTTTCGATGAGATAGATTATATTACACTTTATTGCTTTGTAAAATGCAAAATTTATAGGGGTTGGAAATAAAAACTATTAGTTTGATTGTAAATTTTTTGAGATGCATACAAATATGCTTGAACGCATAATAAAATGCATACTAAACTTTTTCATATTGGGTGGTAAAAACACAAATCAGGTTTATCTTCAAAAAAGATATCATTTGTTAAGGAGTAACCAAACTATCACACATTTATAAGTATGTAAAATGTAGATAAACATTTTTTCAAGCTAATAATAAATCTCATGTTTTTTTGGTGGTAACTATTTTCAGTTTATACTCCTCATATCAGTGCTTATGGGTAGTAAGGTCATTTTCAGTCATGACGATGTTCAATTAACTAATAGCTTGATTTCTTATAAACCAATTATATGTTATAAAAGTTCATATTTTTAGAAAGTTAGAATCACCATCTTGGGTTTGTCATTCATGACATGCACGAATTAAGTTGCATATCATTTTTTACCTTCGCAGATATTTGCACTAGAAAAAACATATATTCTGCCATGTCACTTAAAGGTTCTCAAAGTGTATTGTCATGTGGGCCACAAATGGGGATTCTAATTCTAATTTTGTTTTATTTACTTTACGTACAGTAGCCAGATTAGCTCCGTACTTTTGACATTCTTTTGACGTATAATAGTTAACTTGCTGAATTTACCCCGATCTTATTACCCTCACCTGATCATCACTATGAGTAGATTTGATCGACTTCGTTTATGTAGATTATGAAGCTAGATAAAATCGTACGATGTAACATTTAAGGAAATATACCGTCAACTGTGACATGGAATAAAATCTTCAGTATTGATGCCAAACAACATTGTAATATTACAACACTTTCTAGTATACCGAGTCTTTCAAATTCGTCTCTCACCTTTGAGATTTTGGAAACGGTAAGAGATAGGAAGAAAGTTGCGTATACAGGTAACTAACAAAATGCTGCTTAGACAGTTTCTAAATCCAAAGTACTTCCGCAGAGAGATGGAAAAAACTAATTTTCCCCAAATACGTTTTAATTTTTCCTTATTTGAAGTGGGATTTCAAAATAAATTACACATCAACATTGCCACTTTCTCTCCAAGATGGCGTAATTAGAATTTCAATATGACGTTTCGTGTCTTGTCTTCCAGCATCGACTTTATTTTTTTAAGAACGCCATATTGGATTTTTGTACGGTTTGACGTTAAGTCGTAGATTCGCTGCAATAATGTATCTAGCATTGATGCCATAAGGAATAGTAAAAGAACTTATTTATCTTCAAAATTTAAGTACCACAACATTTAGGCTCGATTGGACCAATAAGAAGCCATCTGTGAAGTGATGGATTTAATGAATTTGGTCGATTTCTTGTAGTGTTCTCAAGCCATAGTAAAAATTATGCAATTTGTGTAAGATATGCTCCTTGTTCTTATATTAAATCAAGAAATACTTCATTATATCACATGATTCAGATACGTAAACCTAGTTTTCATTTGTGTATTCTTGACAAACATTGAGTAAATACTCAATTCTCTTACTTATTATATGAACACATTACCCAAAGATTTAAAACAACTTCGAAATACACATAATTTTGAAAACAAATTATCTAAATGGATACGCCCAATAGGAAGATTGAATTCCTATCAAAAATTCCTTAAAAATTATAATCCTTAATGTACTGCCAGATGTAGAGAAGCTCTTAGAAGGTATCATATATGAGCAAGTCATTGAATATATTGAAGAAAATAAGATATTGTCACAATTTCAAGCAGGATTCAGAAAAAAGTTTTCTACTGAAACAGCAATTCAAATGGTAGTAGAAGATTGGAGGCGAAATATGGATGAAAAAAAGTTTACGGTAACATTGTTCTTAGATTTCAAGAGAGCATTTGAGACTATTGACAGGGAGAAATTGTTAACGAAATTGCATTGCTATGGATTTCAAGGTTTAGTATTCAACTTATTACAAAATTATTTGATCAATAGAAGTCGAAGAACTAAAATTGGCAATACATTATCAAACATTAAAAACTTTTCTGTAGGTGTGCCACATGGTAGCAAATTAGGTTCATTCCTATTTATTTTATATATTAACGATATTCCTGATATTTTACAACACTGCAAAATTCAACTATTTGCTGATGATACATTAATATATGAATCAAATAAAGACATTGAATCTGCAATAGAGCTGTTAAATAATGATATGAAAAACGTAATAAATCGATTAAATGTAAATAAACTTAAACTAAACATAAACAAAACAAAATCATCTTAAATAAAAATAAATATACTAGAATAAATTTTATGCTGAAAGAAGTACAATGGTTAAATATCAAACATTTCATAGCCTACTTGGTTTTCATTTTCATATTCAAGTTGAAAAATCATCTTCTACTAAATCACTTATTTTATTGTATTGAACAATGAGTGCCCCAATTATTCTACTAGAGGAAGTATAGACTTTCATTTACAAAACTGCAGTAGCAATATAACGAGCAAGTCAGTATTTCAATAGGGATTGTACGAATTTAATAAATTAAGTAATGATATCATGATGTGTGTCAGTTTGAAAATGTTCAAAGGGAAATTGAAAAAATATCTCATGGAAAACCAGAATTCATAGTAGTGAAATTTTGTATAAAAATATGTAGTCTTGAAGACATAATATATTTTGTGAGATACTGTGTAATATGGATATTATGGACATTGTAGCATTAATGCTAAATAAATCTGAAACAAATACAATTCTTTGATTTGATATGATATGTTTCTTTTAATTTTTTTGTTTTGATTTTGGAACACATTCCAACATAAACTGATCGATGTACAGGCATTGTCCTTCTGTGGATTGAAACATTTATTTACCGATTCCATTTTTCTTATACATATAATGGAGTAAATAAATTACTACTACTACTTACCATTAAAAGGAAGATGTCGCGCACTCTACTGGACAGTAGGACGACTGCACGACCACGCTGCGCCTCGGTGACGGTGGCAAGGGTCGAAGTAGTTATCCTACTGCCCATTAGAGGGCACGAGAGCTCCCTATTAACAGCGGTGGCTTAGGAAATACGGTTTTTCGCACGGTAGTCAGTAAACTGAATATTTACTCGATGTTTGTTAAAGAATGAGCAATTTTATTTATGTCCTCAAAGAATTTATCAAGCAGAATTTCTTGCAGCAACAGTGAACAATAAAATGGAACATTTATTGCTGTCATATCAATTTAGATATTGTATCAGATTTGTGTCGATGATTCAAGAATAGCTCAAATGCTTATTTCTTATTGCATTATATGATCATGATAAGTTTTTGTAACTAAACCGAGCGATTTATAAGGTGTTTCTTGATAATATTGGAATTAGGTGGCCTTCTTACACAAATCGTATGTTTTTTTCTGGTTTGAGAGACGTTTCACAAAAAAACGACCATACTCATTAGATCCATTACCTCAGATTGGTTGAATTTGTTACCCACGTGCTTACTAGAAAATCGGGCCTAAGCTACATTAATATTCTGTATGCAAAAGAACCATTTCAGTCTGCGACTCAATAATGTCGTACATTTTGTCCGTCGATCAAATCCACATCAGTCGCCCACTCACCCGCATGCTGCCTGTCATATATAGAGAGCGCGTCGATCGCCTTTTTTCCCTAATATCTTGTGTGAGTATCGTAACATGTGGCGGGTTACGTACGTAGCTACCACTTTGATGTGTATATGTTGGTTAGGGCGAGAGCAACGAAACGCGCATTGCGGTGGCCAATCAGCGCGCCAACAAGCTACTTAAATCCTAAAGAGGGCCGAGGCCGCACCACGCCCACCAGGGCAGCCACCGTACTGTGTACTCTATTTTTTCTCTTTCTATCTCGATGTTATCGGCTTTAGCATTATGTATAGTTTAGAGTTTCGTAACTCGTTGGCGATGTAGGATGAGCAGGTAAACTTACATTTACATTCAAAAATAGTGTCATTAGCAATACTCTACCATCACATTTCCAACGGTTTGACAACCGATTGCGCACTCCTTCAACGCGCTAGCGTTGTCAAAAGACAAACGGTTTCAAATTTGATTGTTTTAGAAAGCATTTTTCTGTGAAATACGATTGAGTAACAGCATCGTATTTGACGACTATTCGACATTTGTGTGTGGGCGGTCTGTAGGACCTTTGCCTCTAATGTACGTTAGTCGAATCTGTCTTCTGGTTGCCTAAACACCAGACAGCCAGACTTCACAGTTGCTGGAGCAACGGACATCATTGATAAAAAGCGAGTAAAGGATTGGTCCTAGGACCGAGCCCTGTTGACAAACCATTGTCAATTTTGATCCGAAACTTCCTTCCTTCAAGAAAGGATTTAAGTAATTTTAGAAGCCTAAAGGAAAACCCTTTTGGATTAGTTTATAGAGGAGGCCCGCGTGCCGCACCTTGTCAAACGCTTTTGAGACGTCCAAAAGCAAGATGCCAGTACTCATACTGAGGGTGAATCCTCTGGCCACCTGCTCCACCAGCCTGACTGCCTGTAGCTCGGTACTATGCTCGGAATCGTAGATGAAAACATGCTGTGGTCGTATTTGGTTGAGATTTATTCAACCACATTGTGAGTCACTCTGAAATGATCCATGAATTCACTTACATTGATTTTTTCGTTTATGAAGCAGTATGTGTTTTCATCATCACCCGAATCGATATGTGAGATCCAATCGGATCCTGAACTTGATAGTTCTGAGAGCAATACAAACAGTTATACAAGATAAAAAACTAGTACACACCAAGTTTTATAAAAAGGGTTATCTGGGGTCAACACAATTCAAAAACCATAACCCCAAATCATAAGGCACCCATAACAAAACAAGAGTTGTCAAACCGAAATAGCGGACCTATATTCCCCAACTAGATTTTACCTTTGCTTGAGCATGTTTTCTCCACTGCGCATGCTCAGTCGGTCTCGAACCGTTGGAAATGTGTCGATTATTTATTTACTATTATTAAGGCACTCATCCAATCCTTCCCCATTTTTCTCTTATTTCGCCTTGACTTTGTCTGGTATTCCCAAACCAAGTATCATTCAGACCGCTCCGACTCGCATAACTTGTCACTGTAGCAGCATCGAAATACGAAATTTGTGTATATGTTACGTAGACAGCTTACCAACCATGCAAGCGTCTGATTATTTTGTTGGGATGTCATCTTGTATCTGGTTTGTATTCTGTTTAGCCAGTTTGAAAGCTACCGCTAGTTCATCGCTAATGTACGAAGCACGAAAAACTTACACAGCCGCAATTTTTAGCTAATTCACGAAGTATCTTCAATAGTTGGATAAAGTGTGAACTCAATGTTACTAGTAATACATATTAATCGTTGGCTGGCATCTAAACTAGGCACTTCCCTTTGCCAGTTGATTCGACAAGCGAGGTTATATCAATGGCAAATGGTATTGTTGTTGCAGTTATTGCCGGATCTTCATCAATTATGATTGTGGCGGCTTTTGGCCGGAAATTTCAAAAAGTGGGTTTTCCGATTACTCAGGCACACAAAATAAAAATAAGTGGTTTCTGTTTGAAGTCTGACTATGTTTTCCCCGTGTATTTTTTCACGCTGTACACGAATGTGAGGTCAAAATTGTGGAAAGATGGACGAATATAAAAGTAATTTAGACATCAGAACTAAAACTTTTGTTTTTTTTGTGCATCTCTCGGAGACATCTGAAGAGATGTGCTTTTCACCAAAAATGCCAAAATGCCTGAATTACTTTCTTATTTCTCCACCGACCCCCTATTTTGACTTCAGATTCGTGTTCAGCTTGAAAAATAACATGGGAAAAACATGCACACACCACTTTTCCTATTTTGTGGGTATTTTTAGTAACTAGATGCCTATATTATTTTGTCTCACTTAGCAATGTTGGGTTCACACTATATCCAACCAATATTGATTGCAAACTAGTTAAAAATCCCGATTTAATTGTGTAATTTTCACACCTTAGTCATGAATCTGGATTGCTTATAAACGAACCGGTTACCATACAAACTAACCAAGATTTGTAGATGTTTCAGTGGGAAGATGACTTTCCATCAAAACAAGCAGGCGTTATTTATACTAGTCAAGTATAACTAACTACTTTAACCAAAAAATAATAACTATATATGTATCGTATGAATATGCACTCAGTATTGATACCAAATTGCGAATTAACTATGTGTAAAAAGTCTTATATTTCCACGTGCTGTAAAGTGAAGTCTACATACTCATCCTTATATTTATCTATATTTATTATAGCTATATCTCTTACTGTATTTAGCATTCTATAAGTGTAAAAGGTAAAGGGTTGTATTTTTCCGTTTTCGTTAGAAAGATGATACTCAAAGGATATATAATCCGTAAGATAGTCAAATATTACTCTTTACTGTACGTACATAGGATATCTTCGCGTAGATCTTTTCTTTTTTCTCTATTGGTCAACTTCATTTAAACATTCCATGTAGTTAAAAATATTATAAACACAACACAGATATATATGATGATGTTGCTTTTTCTGTTTAGACTATATTTTTGCAATAACTATGAAAAAAATGAATGTTGTACCTATCATATAAATATTGTGCAGAAACTACATAATATAGTCATGTGTATCATAGTTGGCCAATACTACTTGAAACCCTTGGCTTGTTAATTTATTTTTCTATCTAGATAGATATTTTAAAAGTTGCTATAATGTAGATAATTTTATAAAATACAGTTGATAGTACGTAAGGATACACGAGAATAGGTCACAAGTGATGTTATCGAAAAAAAATTAACCCAGTATTAAGCAATAATGACTGTTTTTGAAAATCCTCTGATACCTCGGTCCATTGATATATATGATTTATTTACTGCCCACACCATCATACCCTGTTAACTGTTTGTGGGTGTTTCCTGTATACCTTCCATTCCGAGATACCTACGCTATTGTAATCAATGAACAACGTCAATAATAATGATGCGTTTACAATTTCCAATGATCATCATACGAGTAAATAACCGCACAATCAAAGCGCTGTTATTTCAGTGGACTGAGATATTAGGATGACTTATGTGTAAACGTTTCGTTTCGTTGATCATGGGTGTGCAAACGAGGTTATTTAATTGCACAAATTCGCACATTTTTTAATATATCCCACTGGTCTTCGACACTATTATGCCTCGTTGAAGATAATGTTACTAGTCCACCTTATCTCGTCAGTGAACGAAAGTATCACACGTTTCTAAGCTTTACGTTATTTGTAGAAGAGTCCTCTTGAGGATTCGTCTTGTTGGTGTAAACAAGAATTGTGTACCGTGTAAATAAAATACGATAGTGCACTGGTAACATTATAAGGTTCCGGGAAAGTGTATTCTTTCTCCGAATTTTGTCATAATGAGTGAAGAATTGATATTGACGTCCAGCTGGTGTGGTGTTACTCTGTTTCGGACGATGATATCAATATTGTTGTTTTTGTTAATGTTTGAAACAGTTTATAATCAAGGGACCTATGGAAAAAACTTTTTGAATCCTTAAATATCGTATTGGAATTTTAAGCTCAGTAGAATATTCGCGAGCTGTTGCTGATTTATTGCAATTGATAACATAGGCATACTCGCCTTAGGGAAGCTTCACTGACATTGATACCAAATCTTACTTTACTGTATGTAAGATTATTTTTCACTTCCGGCATTGTAAAAAACAGCAAGTACCGTTAGCCATATATTTAAACTGGAAGTCTTATAGATCTGTACTTTGCAAATATTTTTTTATGAAGTAATAGTTTTTCATACTACAATAGCTGTCTGAATACTGCTTGATATCTACAGAGGTTGCAGAGAGTAGTTAAAATACTAATATGTTATTGAAAATAATCTCAATTTGTTGCTGTAGAGGAAAATTGAGACAAATTACATACGAGATCGGTGCAAGATCAACATAAGTACACCGTATTGCTGGAACTGGATGATTCAGTACTGTGTTGGTAATATGGGGCGTGCAAAAACGGTCAAAGATGGCAAAATTGGCAGGCTGTGCCTCCCCACTATTACTACTACTACGACATACCTCACAAAACAGTATTGGTTTACCCATTATACAGAGTGTAATTCAACTGATGACTAAAATACAGGATATGATTCCTTAGCTCATTTTAGGGAGAACAGTTGATATGAACATATGTCCTAAACCTCTTAACTACATCCAGAACTGGCCGATACGACCGCTCGTTTGTCCCGAGGGTGTCGAGATTGTGGAAAAACCTACAAGAAAAAGCTTTTCCCTGTTCTACTAACCTTAGGCAGTTCAAAAATCCTATTAACAAAATTTCTGTGGGATCATCATAGCAGCCGCGGTGTTCTGGCATTTAGGCTTCTGCCTGTGCGGCTGCTTCGATATATACAAAAAAAAACTTTTGAGCTATTGAGTGTTAAAGCTTTAAGAAAAAAATCGTTTCCTTATCATACTGTTCTAGATATTTTCATGAAATTTGATATACATCTACTACGCACCAATAGGGAATAGGCATTTTTTGATGTAGAATATTTTTTAAATATTCCTACCAGTGACGTAGATCAAATAAACTAATACTATTTGATTTATCACAAGAATGGTTGAAAATGTCCTCCTGCTAGAATGCTCTTTCTCTTGGATTGGCCGATCCCAGAATCTTTTATGGTTTGGCAAGAAAGTAAAATTGTCTGCCTTAGTTCCTCTTCAGTTTGATCCAGTGTACACTAAAGTCTTGAGGTGCCCCCAGAAAAAAATAGACTAAAGAAAGTGGCGATAGTATAGTCCATCAAGTCCCCTTGGAAAAAAGAACGGTCCTATGATGAAATCTCCAACTATCCCAGCCCACACATTCACGGAAAACTGCTCCATGATGTGCGTATTGGTTTTCTTCGGTCCATAAATGATCAAAGGAAATTTAAATGCATTGGAAAATCACGCGGCAGTAGTGCTTGAACCCTTTGAATTTGATACAGGTATAGTAAATTATCAACAAGAATTTTCCAAATAAGAAAATGGGAAACATTAAACAGTACCTCAATTTTCCTAGTACTTGTTTCTGGATGGTGCTCAGTTGTATTTAAAACAGCTTCCTCTAATTCTGGTGTTCTCACCGTGTGATGTACACCTTTTCTTTCCTGTCAGCAGGTAAAATGAGCTCAAATTCGTTGCAAAATAAATGAGCATTGAAAAATGATTTTTATTTTCGGAAAAAAAAATGGCGTACCACATTTTTTTGGAAAAATCTCCAGTATACATCACGTACGGGGACGCCACTGGTAGAAGTATTAAAAAATATTCTACATCAAAAAACGCCTATTGGTGCTTTGTAGGTGCATGTCAAATTTCATGAAAATATCTAGAACAGAATTAAAGTTACAAGAAAACAAATCTTAGCTCAAAAGTTAAGAGGTATAGGACATACTAAGTTCATAATAACTTTTCTGCCTAAAATGAGCTAAGGAATCATATCCTGTATTTTTAGCCGTCAATTAAATCGCATCCTGTATTTATGAAATCGTATTAGCTAGATTTTCATTAAGGCGATCTTATGATACTTTTTTGAAACAAAATCCCCAGCAGCTCGAAAAACAAAAAGTTTGCATTCTGTAGTCCTAAAAGTTGTTGAGGGAACAGAAAGAAAGGGCTTTTATCCCAATTTTTAACTATAGTAATATATATCCACTGTGATTAGTCATATCCAATTGAAAAAAATTGTTCCCGCCTTCGTTGAGGCTTGATGCGTCTTCTTCTATTGATTACGGCTAGTCTTTTTAAGTGTACAGTGTTTAATTTAGACCCTCGACTACATAGTATTAAGAGTTGAGTGATATTTACATATATAAGGAAAATGGCTGTTGCATTTCGAAGTATGTACAAAATATCGAATTGTTGGAGAATCGCATTAAGATTTCCACTTTCTGTCTTCTAGATAAACACACTGGATACTACCAAATACTTACACATACATTTCAAGTCGAATTGCCTCTTACAATATTAGAAATAACAATCAGAGGGAGGGATAACTTGAAACTTTGACATAGCTGAGGGCAAAACTAGTTTGATTCAGAAACTCAACCTCCACAATTGAATGAAATAGGATACTTTTAATGTTGGGTCCATACCTATAGTTCAAACGTACTAGAAGTCTCCATACGTTTTGTAGATCATTGATGAAAACTTTGTAAGATCATTCATAAATGATATAATGAGAGGCAATGTAGTATTTTGGGTATTTGCCTAGATTTTTGAAGGAGTAAAACTTAAGCACAGCCGGTACTTATGTGAAATTAGTTCCACCAAAATATTAAACGAAATGTGCCATCAATTATATTTGCAGCGATTATTTCTTATAAAATGTTTTTGGAAATGTGTGGCAAGGGTATGACTATAAGCTTCAATATTTTGTACGTCCATATTGTTGAATGGTGCAAGTGAGTTTTATTTAACTTTAGCAGGCTAAATACAGCTTTTAATAGTTAGGGCCAAACAAAATGGCCGACAATATGGTAAAGAAATTATTTATATTACATAACTGGGTCAAAACTAGAAATTTTCGACCTGGCCTGGCGGGTTATATCTCAGATCAGGCTCAAAATCTTCCTGGTAAGTACCTATCGAGGCATGAGGTTTTGTGAAAAAAATTCTATCGTTTTGGCAGCTTTTCCATTTTCCAGCTACTCCTGTTCCTGGAAAGCATTAAGCCGACTGTGGTAAAATTGTAAAATGAACTTCAAATTGCGATCTAATATTTCGGCCAGGTGTTTTTTTTTTCGAAACTTTGCAGCGTTTTATGAAGTGACATTTTCAAATAACAGGCTTCCAAATATAGATAGGAGGAGTCGTTATGGCTCACTTTGAGAAACACTGATATAGAGGAATAAATTGGTCATTTTTCTTTACAAAAAACAAATATTTTTTGCGTTTTTCTTTTCGGACGGCATAGGAATTGTCAGCCAAATGAAACAGTGAAAATCTTCGGAAAAATCACTTTTGACTTGAACATCTGTCGAACGAGTTATCTGATCGCAATTCGGAGGTCATTTTCGAACTCCTTGGACAATGTCACTTGGGAATAGTCATATATTCTGGGACCTACTGCTTTCTAGGGACACAAGTAGCGAGAAAATCGAAACATTGACAAAACGCTAAAAATAAAATTTTTGTTGAACCTCAGAGCTTTGAGCGCTACAATTTTTCAGAGCTTCTCGTGTCTATATAAAACAAGTCGAACTCGATCTGAGATATGACCCGTCATCCAGGTCGTGGAATTTGTAGGTTTGGCCCAACTACATATTCAAATGTATAGAGTAGGCATTTCCGATTATGTAATTAAAAATGTATTACTGAAAGCGTTGATTTGTTGTTTTTTACCCCCCTTCCACGTTTTAATATTCCCATCCAACTTTTACTAGGAGCCAAGAAGAAATGGAGAATATCGGCACGGGTAAGTGACATTATGCCGATTTTTTTTTGACATTATGCTAGTTTTTTTGACATAGTGTACGTACAAGATATTAACTTAGCAGTTAGTTGTACGTGTTGCCTAAACGTCATGAGGCTTGTTATCAATCTTTGGCTCTGATGTGATGTAAAATCCGCTTCTGATATGGCATTACTGGAGGTCTAAGCTGTAAGTTGTATATGTTGATGATAATTACATTGGGTTCTTGTCTCAAATACACTTAGTTGAGATTCAAAGCTAGAAATTCGTTGCGCATCCACTTTTTCTTATCCATTCTGGAAATTACATATTCATATTTGCTGTTTTTCAAAAATGAGAGGGATAAGAAATAATTATATTCACTGTACACTGTCGAATTACATGCCATATACATACTAACAGTAACTACACACAACGCGGGCGCGGTGGTGATTTCCCGTAACTCTCCTCTCTCTCTTTTTTAAATTCAGCATATTCGCATATGTAATTTCCAGGTTGAATAAGAAAAAGCGGATGTGCAACTAATTTTTAGCTTTGCATAAATCTCAAGTAAGTGTATTTGAGACAAGAAAGCAATGGAATTATCATCAACACAGATTATTACTAGCATACAAATCCTCACTATGTACTGCCGTTTCTTTCCAGCTATAGTATACAGCTTACAGCTTAGACCTCCAGTAATGCCATCTATGAAGCAGATGTTACATCACATCAGAGCCAAAAATTGATAGCTGAAGCATCATGACGATTAGGCAACACGTACAGCTACGGAACGAGTACACAATAAGCGAACAACACCTAGCGCGAAGTTGAAAAGCCTACATAATGTGATAAAAAACCTATATAATGAACTTTTCATACAAAAAATACTAGACACTAATAATAAGAAACTTTCTTTAGTTAAATAATCTATTGTAGATATAACTTTTCTATCGTAAAATAAGTCACAAAGGAGATTTTGTCAATAAACTTTTTTGGTAGCATAGTCAAAATTCTGAAAGAGCATGTCGAAATCTATGGAGATATCATCTGATTAACACTTCCTCGAAATGTTCCAAGCAATCCCGTTTTTGAATCCTAAGTGATTAGACGAAATCTCACAACGTAGTTCCAAGTAAAAAGAAAATATCAATAAATCATCTTTTTATGTTACGTTTGATTATACTGAACTCCTTGTCTTCTCGGCAGTGGAGCTACCGCTTTTCTCAATCGTAGGTGCAACATGCTCCTCGTATTGCTGAATAATCAGTTCGCCATCCCTCGTATAGGAGGGATCGAACATTCTTCCTTCAGGATTTTCTCTGAACAAATATTCGGCTAGATAGTCTAACGGGTCATCTGGCCTGATCTTTGCAACTTCTATTAGCCCTTTAGATAGAACAGGTAATACATATTTCATCAGGTAATACCTAAGTGGCTCGCTTTGAGCTACTAGCACTTTCTCTTCTTCCATCTGGAGTTTCTCTAAGGTTTCTACCCATTTTTCCATTTTATCTTGATATTCCTTTCTCGCCTTTTCTTCTAATAACTGTAAAATACATTGAACTTGCATCATCTATGCCTTAAGACTCTAGATTACTTCTATTTGTTTGTTTGTTTATTTAGCAATGTTGCACAGTATATCACAACATTTTATGTCAAGTCTGCATATTTTTATACTAAATATCACTACTATGAATTTTGGTGTTCCACGAAATATTTTTTCTCGGTCTCTAACGAACATACGAAGCACTTTTGCACAGAGGTAAATCAAGTCCAATCGACTTATTTTGAGTTCAAAAATACATGGTACTCCTATGTGCATGAAATATTGGGCCACCCTGTATATCTTACGGAACAAAATATTAACAATTAGCAACTCTATAGAATTTGAAATAAAATAGAATGTCTCACTTGCTTCTCAAGCCTTTCTTCCTCTTCCTTCAGCCGACGTTGCTCACTCTCAAGCTTCCTCAACTGCTCCATCTCTTCCGCGGTAAGGCCAAACCCAGGAACAGGCTCTCCAAATATTTCCGTCAGATAGTCATAGATGCATTCCAGATCTCTCTCCTTTTCCGTCTCTTCATCTATCAGCGGAATGATAATCGGATGGATGCCAACTTCGTCGAAGAAGTTCAACATTGTGTTCTGTTCCGTATTGTGTTGGCGGTACTCGAGGAGACGACGTAGCATCGCCTCTTCGTCGTAATGAGTACCCTAAGAATTGATTTATTTTGAGGCACATCGGGTTTGTATCAAAACAAAGGCGGATCGTGCCACATGATACACAACGTCATCACTATTCTAACGTATGTCCTAAAACTTTATCGGATTTTTTTTAATGAAGAAATTTATTTAAACACTGACTAGTTATAAATTACAACACAACACTCAACTAAACTATACTATCGAATTATGTGGAGTCGCCTATTTTGCTCTTCCAAGTTTATTCGAATGTCTCTCATGAGGTCCTGGACGGAACTCAGATCAATTTCTCTCAGCTTTTCGTAAATCCTCCGTCTGTTCTTCATCTTGGGCTTCCCTGCCTTCATGATACACTTTCCTAGACAGTAAAGTCCAAAAATCCTCTATTGGGCGACCATGCGGCAATACTGGAGAATTATCGTTTTTGGGAACAAAAGGTATGTTGTCGAAGCCAGTTTTTTATCTCTTGAATATTGGCATGATGCTAGGTCATTGATATGGTCACTACCCTGATGTTCTTGGACAAACTGAAAGTAAAACTCTGACTATTCAAAGCTTCACCCCCTCACTCTTCCCACAAAAGGTTGGGATACACCCCTGTTAGAAATTGCGCACCAGACAAGGATTTTATCTGCAAATTTCGCGTTATGTTTGTATCTGACATTGTCAGGGCATTCCTCTACGTTGTCCGTATAAAATCCGACATGTTTCCCTTCATTTCAGAATTACTGAAAGTGATACGTTTCGTCTTCTAAAATAATGATTTTTCCATTGGCAAAGTGGACCCGTCTCAGTTGACATCGTCTTAGTATGCGAAGGTGTATTTAGGGCACTCAAGTATCTTTCGATGTTTAAGATCATTCCTCCTCAATTTCAACGATATCATACGCTTATAAGATGTGTATTGACGATCCAGTCTCCTTGTTGACATCCCAACCTGATTTTTTGCTCTTTTAGCCAATCTCTCTAACCTCTGTGCAGTAAATACACGTGGTCTTCCTCTTTTTGGGAGATTCAGACATGCTATTCGATAAATGGTTCTGCGAGAAATGTTTTTATTCTAAAATATTCGACAGATTTCAGCTTTGGCTACCAGCCCAACCACCTTGTAGATACTTTTTCTTGTTTAATTAATACGACATCTTATAGAACTTCAAAATAAATAAGTATCAATTGACAGTAAGGTAAGTAAACAAACTTTTGTTTCCAAGGGCGACTTGATATTGTGACAAATAGTTGGCGCCATCTGTTGTGCGAGTCTCCTACTCGCCAGAGCTTAATGGCCGATCTCTGCTTGAAGTGACCTCCAATATTCTAGATGTCGCTTTGTGGTTCAGCCGGCCTTTCTCGAAGCAGCAATTGGGACTATATTATAACTCGGCAGCCGGGAGATGGAAGCAGAGAGAGTACAGATTACACCAGTGCAGTACGGAGTGGAGTATAGTGCAGTCAATGGCGACATAAGAATTAGTCAAACATAAATAGTGGTGTATGTAAATGTTCTGTCAAGTTAAATAAATTAGTGCATTTCCTTTTGTGGAATCCAGTGTTTTAATCCACACCCAGAAGAATCCAGAAAAACGCTACCATATTATTTTGTGTTTGTTAAAATTAAAGCGAATAAATTTTGTGCCAAAACTTTTAGGGCGTACGTTATACATTGTCTCCATCATTGTATACGTATTAATTACATTGTATACAGCGTGTCCCAGAAGTCGACGTCAAGCCGAAACCGGGTGATAGGCAAAGTCATAACAGCTATCAGAAAAATATTTAAAAAAATTTTATGTATGTGTTTTGAAAATTATAGGTCTTTGAAAAAAATATAGAAATTTCACACCCTACGGCAGTCTGTCAACTCCTGTTACTACAAATATTAACTTTTTTTGGATTTTATTTTTATAATGTAATGATGAATAATGCATCTTCAAACTGGTGTCTCAACCTTATTGCCAACTTTTCTCGTTCAGGAAAAATTGCCACTTATTTCCCAACCAAGTATTCCAAAGTAAAACTTTGCTCAACTTTAACTGGCTGTACTGGAAAAAAATCTACTAGGAGAGTTTGGCAAGTAACCTTAAAAGTTGGCGCATTTAATAAGGATTCCAAAATGGTATAACACTTAAAAGATTACTCGTTAACTTATGCAGAATTTTTATTTGAAGAAAAACTGATGAAAATTTTTCAAAATTTCCTAATTAAACAGCGATTATGAAAACGCACAAGGACCCTCAAGGATAACTGTTTGCACAACAGTGGGTTGTCAAAATGCAGCTGATGATGATTTACCTTTACAGCAAATGCTCAAACTGTTTTCCTTGAGCCGCAATACACGCTCGACATCTTCTTAAAAAAGATCGGGTTATTAAACGAGCGAATCCACGGTTATTAACAAACTCAGCTGCTTCCAATAGTCTTTGCAGGAGCTCAGCTACATTTTGAATCGGCTTGAAATACACTTTTTCTTTTACAGTTCCCCAGTAAAAAAAATCTAACGGATTCAAATCTGGTGACCGAGCTGGCCACGATATTGTACCAGACCGCCCTATCCATCTGCCTGGAAAGTTTTGATCGAGATACTCTCTCACTGAGAGTGCATAGTGCGCTGGGCAGCCATCATGCTGAAACCACATGTCCCTGTAAATACTCAGTGGCACGTCCTCCATGCATAAGTTAACGAGTAATCTTCTAAGTGTTATACCATTTTGGAATCCTTATTAAATGCGCCAACTTTTAAGGTTACTTGCCAAACTCTCGTAGTACATGTTTTTCCAGTACATCCAGTTAAAGTTGAGCAAAGTTTTACTTTGGAATACTTGGTTGGGAAATAAGTGGCAATTTTTCCTGAACGAGAAAAGTTGGCAGTAAGGTTGAGACACCAGTTTGAAGATGCATTATTCATCATTACATTGTAAAAATGAAATCCAAAAAAAGTTAATATTTGTAGTAACAGGAGTTGACAGACTGCCGTAGGGAGTGAAATTTCTATATCTTTACACATACATAAAATTTTTTTTAAATATTTTTCTGATAGGCAAAGTCATAACTTTGCCTATCACCCGGTTTCGGCTTGACGTCGACTTCTGGGACACCCTGTATATACACATACAATCTGAGTACGAAATTCTTGGCACTGACTCATCTGTGCTGCTGAAAAACCGTAGTTGCCAGATTTCCAAAATGAATTTACCCAGCTATTTTAAAAAAACTATATGATCTAAAACTAGCAAGAACTAAGACACGTATATTCAGATGGACAAAGAGTAGTAGGGCTATGAATGTGGCACAATGTAAAATTTCTACACTGACTGACGACATACAAGGAATTCGTAGAACATCAGTTTGGTAGTTTCGAACATGGATTTGCCGACTATGCGACTATAATGACATGACAACACTGTCAGGAGGTGGACAGACGATGATAGCTATTGGTGTATATACAGGGTGACTTCGAAGTTGAGTCATTTATTTTAACAGTGAGTAGATCTGATCAAAATAAATGTTTTTTTCCTTTACCATTTTTCTGGTAAAATTAAAGTAACAAAGTTATAGCCCTTTGGAAGTTTGAGTACCGCCCTGTCTCAATAATAATATCATGTGCTCGTGTTTGGCAACAACGGATATAATCCGCCTTATCAGTTCATCGCATCGGAAACAAAAAAGCGAAAGAATTTGGAACGATGTTTTTACAATTATTTTATTCAGTTCGAGTTATACATACAGTCAGTGTCAGTCGGTTTCGCGTGTGAATAGTGTCTGTTGCGTGGCTCAAACGAAATAAAAAATGGCACATGTTTATGCGGATCGGTTTCCCAATCGAGTGCAACCAACCCCTCGTGCCTTTGTTAATGTAGTACAACGGGCTCGTGAATCAGGTGACTTAAGACCTCACAGGGGACCTCACGATCAAATACAGGTCCGCACTGAAATACTTGTCGGGAGGATACTTTATAAAACAAGGTAAAATTTTTTTTTTAATTTTTTTTTTTATTTTTACACACATATTTTGGCTTATCTTCCTTCTACAATCATTATCTGAAAATTAATGACTTCAAAGTCATATCCACACCCCTTACTGCACCTTTAATATGACCATCCAGCAAAGCATATAAGTGCTTAGGCTTCATAGTCAGGAACTGTAGAGATTTTAATGATACAAGGACCATGATTCTGTTGTACAATTCATTTGTGAGATCTAAAACAGAATACGGCTCACTTGTATGGTAACCTGTATATGAACTGCATCGCAATAAGATCGAAGATATTCAAACGCGGTTTGTGAAATATCTGTGGCACAGACATGATGGTACCTACCCACCAATTGGTTTCAGGCACGAGGTGTTGCTAAGCAGGTTTAATATATCCAATTTAAAAAAGCGGAGAGATTGTGCTGCTTGTATGTTCTTATTTAAATTACTCAGTAATATAATTGACTGTGAATACCTTACCTTATGTTGAAACTCTAGCAAATGTAAAATATTTTTACTTCACTGTACCTAAAAGCAATGCATTTCTTTCCTCTCCTGTTAATGTAATGTGTAGTAGTTATGAATGTATTAAGGACCACGTAGATATATTTTTCTGTAATATGAGCGAAATTAAAAGATGTTTTCTTGCCATAGGTTGTAGTCTTTCTTGATAATCTATTGTATAGGATCTATTTATTAGAAAGCTACGTATTAATCTCAGTGAAGAATTATCGAAACCATAATGCTTGCATCTGGCAATCAAAAGAGGGTGATTTATTGTATCGAATGCATTTATGAAGCCCTTTCCTTGCTTTGGCCTCTCCGAAATCACATTATTTTTCCGGTAAAATCGCATGTTCTGGAATATAGTAATTTTATTGAATGTTCATAGCTTGTTCCAAAAATTTCGAAAGTAAGGGTAAACTACTTTTGAACACTTTTTGTTTTTAGAAGCTCTATTCAAATATGCAATGAAATATAGGGTGTTCTATTTAACATATATATATATATATACAGGGTGTCCGCAAAGTTGGAGTTGTCCTTTTCAGAAACAACTACCCTTGAAATAACAAAGGTAATGTGTAGTGAAACGAGGGCGACCAAGTAAAAAAATAAAGGAAAATGTACTCACTCTCCAGATGACGAGAAGGGCTAAGTACGTCTCTGCCCGAAATCAACCGCTCCAACAGAAAATGAAATCAGCTGATGCGCTACCGAGCAGACGCAGGCGGTGGTGCAGACCACGAACAGAGGTAACAAATATGACGGCGTTGCCGCGTTTTCAGTTTTTAGGTAAACGTACTTTATAGGTATTGTTCGAAGTTATCGCCGTTTGATTCAAAAACACAGGTGCGTGCACGACGTAGCCAAGCATCGGTGCAGACTTTGAGAATGGAGTCCCTCCCCCGAATGAAAGCACCAGCTTGTTCAATTCTGAGAATAAGCTCGTCAACCGTATGCACTTCAGCAAAAAATCACATGGTGTTAAGTCTGGAGATCGCGGAGGCCACGCTACGGGTCCATTACGTCCGATCCACCTATTCGGAAATAATTCATTCAAAAACTCACGCACTTCGCGTCTAAAATGGGGTGGTGCACCATCCTGCAGAAACCACATTGATTGTCTTACACTTAATGGCACATCTTCTAACAAGGAAGGCAAAATGTTTCGTAAAAAGTCTAGGTATTGCATCCCTTCCAATCGATTTGGGAGAATAAATGGTTTAATGAGCATACCGTTCACCATGCCAGCCCAAACATTCACCGAAAATGTTTGCCACACTTTAGTTTTTGATACTTGCACTTCTCTAGCCACGTCTCTAGTGCTTGTTGAGGGATTCTCGTCTACGCGATTACCTCTACACGCGTGACCGTAACCGTCGGTTGAAGGTTGCATACTGACCTGACACACTGACCCCGACCCAGTTCTGTCGTCGGGTTGAGCCAGTGACCTTGTACCACTCGGTGATGTCGCGGGTCGCGGCTACAGGACGGTATTCAGATATTTTTGATGTTGCAGAGCCCTTTATCTCGGTTCCCTTAAGACATTGGTGTATATGGTACTAAGAAAAATTGCTTATGTTTTCAAGATCTACACGTCGTGTAAAGGAAAACCCCAACTTTGCGGACACCCTGTATATATATACAGGCTAGTGAACCATCTCTCACACAATCCGCACCTGTATCTCCCTCTGTGGCAACTTCATCACCCTTTCACACAAAAAATCATCGATGGCGACCAGACTGACGAGATAATCGGGCAGAATCTGGCTCAGAGCATCTTTCATCATCCCCATATCTACGCCCGTTTGTTCTTCTACCTCCATTCCACCTTCGCCTTCCATTGGGGGAAGGACACCTCCTCCTCCCCCTTCACCTCCTTCTCCGGCCATTTTCGCTTCGGCTACTTGACCAAAAATTTCACGGGCCTGCAGTGGGATCAAACATTTATTACACGGTCGCATGGTATAGACAGATATACAGGGTGTAAACGTTATGGTAGTCATTATTGAAATGGGTAATATGTCAAAACAAGTCAAAAAGTGTATATGACCCATGGTCCAAAAGTCAATAGATTTTTGTCTAAATGGCTTGATAGCTTACAACTTTAAGTGCTTTATATCGACCACAATCACCACAATCTTACTAATTTTTATAATCTAATCTAAAACGTTTTTGAATTGGGTAAATAACAAATAAGTGCCATTAAGTTTTTCTAAGTTAAGCCAAAATTTGTAGTCAGTAGGTAAATATGTTTCATTAAATTAAATATTTAAAACACGCATGACAACAGCCCGTCGGTCTTTCATCACTCTTATCGAACCGGCAATCGATCGCAAACGGTAACAGTGGTTAGTGCATAGACAAATTACTTTATCGTTTTGTCGAGCAGAGCACCGGGCGTGTTGTTTTGTTTTTGTTCGCGTACGTCGTCGTGTTTATTTACAATGTTTTCGAATCAAGAGTTCGCCGCCATGTTGTTAGTTTACGGTGAAGCTCATCAGAATTGAAATCTTGCAGCTCAAATTTAGATTTCGCCAACGGGTACACCCAGACGGAAGGACATTTGTGCAAGTGTACTAAAGACTTCGAGATACAGGAAGTGTTCAGCCCACTAATATTCGCACTCGTGAAAGACAGGTTACTGTAGAGCAGAAGGAACAAATTTTAAATATCGTGGAAATCAATGCAGATATTAGCACTCGGGAATTAGGCCGCCGCGTAGGACTATCGCATACCATAGTCCATAGAATCCTACGGGAAAATTTGCTTTATCCCTACCATGTACAACGAGTGCAGACCTTGTTACCAGAAGACTATCCTCGCAGACTAACAGTCTGTTAGTGGTTTTTGCACAAAAACATTGAAAATCCGGATTTTTTAAAACACTTTTTTGGGACGGACGAATATACTTTTACGCGAGACGGGATATTCACACGTGGGCAAGAAAATCCTCATACCATTCGTGAAGGTCATTTCCAACAACGTTTTAAAATAAATATTTGGGCGGGTATTCTTGACGATCAGGTAATTGGCCCTTTCGTGTTACCCCCAAACTTGTCAGGAGAAGGATACCTTAGCTTTCTAGTCAATAACCTACCAGAACTTTTGGAACAGACCTTATGCCATCACAACGGAGACAGAATTTGTGGTTTCTTCATGAGGGGGGACACCACCACATATTTTTAGAGGCATCATTCAGTATTTGAATGGACATTATCCAAATCACTGGATCGGTCGAAATGCTCCTGATCCTCGAAAATGGCCAACCAGATCTCCTGACCTCAATCCGATGGATTTCTGGTATTGCGGAGAACTTAAAGTGATTGTTTATGGGGCTGGTCCAATAACAACTGAAGCACAACTTCGCGAAAAAAAATTTAATGCGGCTGAAATAATAAAGGGACAACTTCGAGGACCTAGAGTAAGAGGAAACTGGGTACGTCGTGGAAAGTGGGGGACAACACCTTCTTTAAATACAAAAAAAGTGCAGAAAAACAATGTATGTATCAAAATTGTGTTCCCTATTTATAAGTGGATTTTTTTAATACGTTCAATAAACATTCACATACCAGGTGAAGCGCTGTGTGTTTTTTAATTGTTTGCATTTTACGAGTACATTATCAAATAATGAAATAATACCTAAGAGCCAAAAATCCATCCATCTTTATTTACACTGCGTTCCGTCGAAATTTGTGTCTGGCATTGCGGCGTTGTCAGATTTTAATTTACTTTAAAGTCGATTTTCTCTAAAAAAAATGCCGGTTTGACCCCCATGTTATATGACTTTTACACCCTGTATAGATAAATATGCTGTATTGTCTGAAGAATACATCCATTCTTAATGACAAGGCTAACTAGTGCCGTATCGTCAGTCCTTCCTACAATTTTAAGACACCTTTATGGCCTCCTTAATTTTCATAGTCTTTTCTCTCCTTCACTTGAGAAAGGCTGGGGTATTCCTAGATTTCTACTGTGTCACCGTCAGCTCTCTCGTGTTGTGAGACTATGTTTTATTTTTGAATTGTAAGAGATTTCAGGCCGATCAAGTCCTTGTATAGAGTGAGTGAGCTTAGCTTTTTTCCCTGCAGCTGTCGCTATTGACGAGATGTGCTCGTGCCAGATCAAGAACTCCTACCGAAATGAACGGCTCTTTGATAGAACTCAGTCATCTATCGAAAGCGATAGGACGCTTTTTGTTCGACAAGATAAAGTAGGTACTGTGTTTTAGAAGCATTAAAATGTACAAGATTGTTGCGTTCCCAGGCAGTGACAACCTCCAGGACTCTCATCAGAGAGGAAGTCGCTGCTAGTCTTCTTTTTTCAGCTCACCGGCAGAGATCGGTTGTCGCTCCTAATTCCTGTATGTAGAGTGCTGTTATCAGCAAAGCTCATGCAGGAAAGAAGGTCGTTGATATATAAGGGGAACAGTGTCGGAGCCAATACTGATCCCTGGGAAACACCCGCGTTGGCATTATGGGATGAAGAATAGAATCCGTCATTTCGACGGATATTTTGAAGCCAGAGAGAAAATCAGCCGTACATCTACAAAGCTTCTCAAAGAGCAACAAGATGAGCCTCACCATAAGACTGAATGAGCTCTCTCCACAACTGCATGATGTAAGCTAGGAGGACCCGATGTGGATGGCTGGTACCGGAAACCATACGGCCTGTCGCTATCAAGCCGTGACTTCGAGGTAGTCCAGAAGCTCGCGATTTATGCACCTCTCCATCATCTTGCGATAACAGAAAGCAGAGCTATAAGCCTGTAGTTGTAAGGGTCGATCTTAGATCTTTTTTTGGGATGGGTTGGACATGAGCAAATTTCCAGCTTTTTTGGGATGGTGTCGGATTCGTAAGATATCTGAAAGAGACGCGAAAGAACTGACGCAAGATCCGCTGCAAACCTCTTCAATACAAAGGCAGAAATCAAGTCCGAACCAGAAGCTTTGATGATGTCGAGCGACAAGAGCGCCCTTCTTATGATCTTATGCCTGAATGTTACTTCCCCTGTGAATCGACGGCACCTGTGCGTTCGGGGGTCGGGGGACCCTCCATGGTGGAGTTAGCAGCACTTCCGCCTTAGCCTTTGAATTAGTTATAATCAATCCATCCCTACACGTAAGTGGTGGAAGGCTACCCTGTGAGAAGTTCCTTGCAGTCTGCTAGGCCAGCCTTTAAAAAGACCGACTGCCATTGCGCTGCGACATTACACTGTGCTTAACTTTTATAACGTGCTGGTCGTTGGTATTGCGGACCGCTTCGTGTTATTCGTTTCTGGACTCGACGTCGGCTTGTCTGTTCTCTTCAGTGGGGTTTGGTAAGAAGGTTCTGCATGCCTTAATCTTCTCCTGGCGACCAGTGTCACTAGATTAATTGAACCAGTCGTTGGACCCTGGTTTAGGCACTGGTATTCAAGTAGGTCGTCCCAGTTACGCTCCGAGGGAGAGCGGTAAAGGCAGCAAATAAATTTGGAGGATGTTTTGGAGTTGGGACGAAGCCGCAGACTGGCATTTCTGTCTGATTCCGAAGGAAAGACTGCTGTGGATAAAAAAAGACACAACTCCCCCGTTCTTTCTCAGATTGGAGCGCACCTCGTGATTTGGGAAGCTAAAACGATTAATCGGTGCAGACTCTGAGATTTTTGTCTCTGCCAGGGAAAGCATGGCAGGAAGATTGGATTGCAGGTAGTGATGAACAGCATCAATGTTGCTGTTAATCCCGCAGATGTTCGTGAAACAAACTTTATCTTCGATGTTGTTCCCTCGAGCCCACCGTCCACTCGGACATTCCGAGAGTGGAGTGAGTTTAAGTCGGGAATTCTTAGCACTCGAGCAAACCATCATTACTAATTTTTTTGTTGGGGAAGATAGCCGACCGCGTAGCTTAGGTGTTGAAACATGCAGACATTCTTAAAACACCCTGGAAAAAGCTAGCGGGTGGTACCGCCTGGATCGACTAGTCCTTGTCTACCACCTTCTTTTTGCGCGTTAATGATGTTAAATAGACCTAAAGTGGTCCACTGGCGGGCTTGTACTGCCACCCGACAATCGGAACTGAGGTATTCCTTAACGCGTGTACAATCACTTGAACGGGAAGAAGTTGTATACTGAATACAACTTCCAGAACAAGCATTTACCGCGACCCCGCTCAGTAGGGGAAAAGATGCTCTGATCCCGGTAATATTATGCACCTGTAAAACATAATGAGTGACACACATTTTCCCTAGATCTGCCATTTAAACAGAAATATACTAAGTGACATATAAATCCGAACACCCAGTTTAAATGGTTTTATTTTAATAAAAGTTGGTGAATGCATTTATCTTACTGTAAATAACAAGTGAAAAATTTTCAGCCTTATCAGTTGGACATTCCGGTTTTTATACTGCTTTTTTTTAATTCAATAACGCTCTAAAAATGAATATTTCAGCTGCAGTAAAGAATCAAAGTTGGCGGATTTTGGTTCTTGACATCCTTTACGATCGGTTACGATGCCTAGAGTACGGAGACCTGTACGATTTCGTCAACTTAGTGAGTTTGATAGGGGCCGTATAGTGGGACTTCGGGAAGCTGGACTTTCTTTTCGGGCAATTGCAGTTAGAGTGCAAAGAAGTGTAGACACTGTGGTTAGGTGTTGTCAGGCATGGCTTCGAGAAGGCCGTACGCAAAGAGCAAGGGGCACTGGACGCCGCCGTAGAACAACAGACCGTGAAGATCGCCGCCTAAGATTATTGGCCTTAAGGGACCGTTTCTCCACTACCAGGTCCATTGCAAATGAATGGTTTGCAGAACACGGAAGACCTATTGGCATGCGAAGTGTTTACCGACGAATGAGAAGTTTTGGCTTGTTTTCATACCGGCCACACTGGGTCCTCCCTTTAACTCGAGAACACCGACGTAATCGCCTTGAGTGGTGCAGACAACGGTCACTCTGGGATCAGGAATGGAACAGTATTGTCTTTAGTGACGAGTCGATTTTGTTTAGGCATGCACGTTCCAGGTCACCTTTAATCTTCATCAGAGGTAACATGAACGCGCAGCGTTATATCCACGAAGTTCTAGAACCCCATCTTTTACCCTATCTTGACACCCTGGCAGATCCAACTTTCCAACAAGATAATGCCCGACCACATGTTGCAAGAGTCACAATAGACTTCTTTCAGCATAATGATGTCACATTGTTACCATGGCCACCAAGATCTCCCGACTTATCCCCAATTGAACACGTGTGGGATATGATGGGTAGGAGCTTGCTCAATTTGCAACGTCTTCCTCAGACTCTAGAAGCACTTCGAGAGGAGTTGGCGGTTGCCTGGACTGAGATACCACAGGAGGACACTGACCACCTGATCAGAAGTATGCCTAGGCGCGTTGGAGAATGCGTAGCACATCAGGGTGCATCCGCATATTATTAAAGGCCAAAGGGCTTTAAAGCAGTGCAATCATTTTGAAATTTTTATCATTTACTTATTATGCTTCATTAAGTACTTATACAAAATTTTATTAAAATAAAACCATTTAAACTGGGTGTTCGGATTTATATGTCACTTAGTATATGATAGATTTATTTTATATAGTTTGATATGGAGAGGTCGGAGGCTGAGCCTACCTAGTCATTCTGCCTTTTGATACGACTTGACTCATTCCTTTTTTTGAACATTCAACGAACGCGTAGGACGTATACAGTCAATCAAGTTGTGCCATTTTCTTATTACTGAGCTTGATAATTGGTTTCCACATTTTCAATTACGCCAGTAATCGATTGAAATACACTGAATATGGTTATAATTACTTGATCCATTGTTTTTGGATAGCCATCCAGCACATATCCGCGAGTTCTGCAAGGTTCTTTTCCGAGAAAAAGTTTCATCAGCCTAGCCACGTACTGATCTGGTAGCTTGTGATTCGGGCTCCTTTCCATCAGCTCTGTTATATCTTTTATCTGTTCTTGCCAGTCTTCAATTTCTCCTCCTAGAATGAGAAATGTTGAACATTTTATGTTGACTCAATGGCTCGGCAAACGTACGGCCAAGTCAGTTTACATACTGAGGTACCGCCTTGGGATTGTTACCATATCCATGGTGGTAAACATTTTTTTGTCATTTCAGATCATAGGATTCACCAACTAAGTTGTCAAACTATCACACACTTTATACGAAAATTCATGAATCAGCGATAAAACGTTAGTGAAAGTAACAGGCTAATTGACACTTTAAGCAGATCTTAAATAGTTAATATTTGGTCTATTAGACCACTTTTATTAATTCCTGAATGTATTTATTATGGCCACGATGTTGTAGACGGCCCTATCCACCTGCTCGGGTATTTCTCATTAAGATCTTCTCTAACTGAACGAGCATAGTGCATAGCTGGTACCATGTGTCTCTGTAAATGCTTAAGGGGCACGTCTTCCAATAAACTTGGTAAATAATTTTGTGAAAATTCTAAATAGATTTCGCCATTCAATATTAAAAATACGCTCGGTATAGTTCATTGAGTTGAACTCCGCCTGCATTATCCACCAGGTGGATTGAGTAGCTTAGTGGGTGATGTTGCCGGTTCCAAGCCCGGATAAAGGAGGAGAGTTGTAGGGTTAGGTTAGCAGCCTACCATATATACAGGGTGTCCGTAAAGTTGGGGTTTTCCTTTACACGACGTGTAGATCTTGAAAACATAAGCAATTTTTCTTAATACCATATACACCAATGTCTTAAGGGAACCGAGATAAAGGGCTCTGCAACATCAAAAATATCTGAATACCGTCCTGTAGCCGCGACCCGCGACATCACCAAATGGTACAAGGTCACTGACTCAACCCGACGACAGAACTGGATCGGGGTCAGTTTGTCAGGTCAGTATGCAACCTTCAACCCACGGTTACGGTCACGCGTGTAGAGGTAATCGCGTAGACGACAATCCCTCAACAAGCACTAGAGACGTGGCTAGAGAAGTGCAAGTATCAAAAACTAAAGTGTGGCAAACGCTGCGTGAAGAGGGGCTATATCCGTTTCACGTCCAACGTGTACAAGCCCTTCAACCTGACGATTTTCCAGCAAGAGTGCGGTTTTGTGAGTGGTTGTTGCATCAACATGACAATAATCCGGACTTTTTGAAGTGCATATTGGTGACAGACGAATCTACGTTCACGCCTAGTGGGGTGAATAACTTTCGCAACACTCATGTTTGGTCAGTAGAAAATCCGCACGCTGTCCGTCGGGCACATTTTCCACAAACATTTTCGGTGAATGTTTGGGCTGGCATGGTGAACGGTATGCTCATTGGACCATTTATTCTCCCAAATCAATTGGACGGGATGCAATACCTAGACTTTTTACGCAACATTTTGCCTTCTTTGTTAGAAGATGTGCCATTAAGTGTAAGACAATCAATGTGGTTTCTGCACGATGGTGCACCGCCCCATTTTAGACGCGAAGTGCGTGAGTTTTTGAATGAATTATTTCCGAATAGGTGGATCGGACGTAATGGACCTGTAGCGTGGCCTCCGCGATCTCTAGACTTAACACCATGTAATTTTTTTCTTTGGAGAGAAATGAAACGCTTAGTGTACAAAACTGAAGTGCATACGGTTGACGAACTTCGTCTCAGAATTGAACAAGCTGGTGCTTTCATTCGGGGGAGGCACTCCATTCTCAAAGCCTGCACCGATGCTTGGCTACGTCGTGCACGCACCTGTGTTTTGAATCAAACGGCGATAACTTCGAACAATACCTATAAACTACGTTTACCTAAAAACTGAATACGCGGCAACACCGTCATATTTGTTACCTCTGTTCGTGGTCTGCACCACCGCCTGCGTCTGCTCGGTAGCGCATCAGCTGATTTCATTTTCTGTTGGAGCGGTATGATTTCGGGCAGAGACGTACTTAGCCCTTCTCGTCAACTGGAGAGTGAGTACTTTTTCCTTTATTTTTTGTTACTTGGTCGCCCTCGTTTCACTACACATTACCTTTGTTATTTCAAGGGTAGTTGTTTCTGAAAAGGAAAACCCCAACTTTGCGGACACCCTGTATAGAAAATAAAAAAAGCTCAAAGAACCGGCGAAGAGCCTCGGACTAGGACGGAAAATATGGTAACGAAAAAGGCGAGAAAAGGGACGACGAACTGGAAAACGAAAAATATAATGAGAGTGGCTACGTGGAACATAAAAAGCCTAAATAACCGAGATCAGGAAATAGAAAAAGAGTTGAGAGAACATCAAATAGATAACTGCGCCCTGCAGGAAACAAAGAGGAAAGGTAGAGGACACACGCTGCCTGGAGAATATTTACTAATATACAGGGTATCCCGAAAAAAGTGTGCAATATTCTACCAGCGATTTCTAGAGCTTAAAATAGGAAGAAAAGTTTATGTAAACATAGGTCGACAAACGTCCCCTAAGGGCGCTACGGTCTTTTAAAGGGGCTCCTCTGAAGATGTTTTTCCTGAATATTTCCGAAACGTGTTGGGATAAAGACATAAAATTTGGTAATCTAGCCTAGTTTTTTATGCTGGATCTAAAAATATTAACAATTTTAGACAGTTTTGTTTGAAAGCGTATGTAACAGGGACGGACTCATGCTACTTTAGCCCCAAAATTTTTGTGATTCTATTTTTGAAATTCAATTTTAGAATTTGAAAATTTAGGGTTTTCTACATAAAAAAAGGTACTCTTATTGAATATCAATAAATTGTGCCATTTTTGAATAAAATCAAACAAAAAAATTTGTCACATGATAGGAAATGTACTGCGAATTTAAATGAATTGTTGAATAATTAGCCATGGCAACGAAAAAACTAATTTAATGATTGGTAAATATTACATAAATACATATTTCTATTGCAACATAGGTAACATTTAGGCAAAAACAGAAGAAATAATTTTTTTCTACGAACGAAATTGAAATTTGTTTAAAAAAGAAGACATACAGTTGGATATACTTAAAACTAGCTTTACAATAAGTGTTCAAATAAATTCCCATTTTGTTGGCTACAGAGTCTCGCTCGACGAACTAATGATTGCGTAGCCCAAAAAGTGAAAAGCCTTTTTCTTCTTATTTCATTTGCAGCCTGATGGATTCTTTGAAGTAAATCTTCTTGAGTATTTACTTCAGTCGAGTAAAGTAGGTCTTTTAATGACCCCCAATAATAGAAATCCAATGGATTTAGGTCAGGTGAACGTGGCGGCCACGCTATAGGACCTCCTCGGCCTAACCACCTGTCTGGAAAATTGACATTCAACCAATTTCGAACATTGCGTCCAAAATTTGCAGGGGCGCCATCATGTTGAAAAAACATATTTTCTTGAAACCGCTGGCGCACATCCAATGGTATTATATACACGAGCTCATTCTGAAGCAAGTTCAGATACACCTCTGAATTAAGATGATTGGGAAGTACAATAGGCCTAATTACTTGATCCCCAATTATTCCTGCCCATAAGTTCACTGAAAATCTATGTTCGGAATTTGTACGGCAAAAAACTTTTGGATTTTCATCTGACCAGTGATGCATGTTATGGAAATTAAAAGCACCATTCCTAGTAAATATTGACTCGTCCGACCATAATATTCTAGGAATAGTGTTTTCATTTGCTAATATCCACTGGCAAAACTCGATTCGTGGTAAAAAATCTGCCTCCGTTAAATGCTGCACCCGTTTAAAATGATAGGGATGTAATCCTTACATTCTTGTCATTCCTCCTATCTAAAATTATTATTTTTAGGATAACTATCAAATAGGTACTCATAAATTTTTCTTACTATTGATCGAGGTATATCCATAATTTCTGAAACATTTCGTATGCTTATTTGCGGATTATTTTCAAACATATTTAAAGCAATATCCATACAATGATTTCCCAGTGGCCTTCCTGAGCCCTGCATGCGCTGAAAACTTCCATGGTTTGACAAATTCCGGTGAATATCAGTAAACATTCGACGTCCAGGTACTATGCGATTGGGAAATCTTCTTTTATATTCTCTCTGCCAATGAACTGCCATTGCAAAACTTGTGCACACAATGCATGTCAGTCAGTTCTCTGTCTGTAAATCTTGGCATTTTAAATCGATTTAATGAAAATTTTGATTTTAATCTAGTAGTTTTACACTGCTAACAATTTCAGCTTAACGTCAAAATAAGTCATAACAAATCAAAACAACTTTTGTTTGCAGTCATGGCTAACTATGTGTAATCAAAAATTCATTTAAATTCGCAGTACATTTCCTATCATGTGACAAATTTTTTAGTTTGTTTTTATTCAAAAATGGCACAATTTATCGATATTCAATAAGAGTACCATTTTATGTAGAAAACCCTAAATTTTCAAATTCTAAAATTGAATTTAAAAAAATAGAATCACACAGTCCGTCCCTGTTACATACGCTTCCAAACAAAACTGTCTAAAATTGTTAATACTCTCAAATCCAGCATAAAAAACTAGGCTAGAATACCAAATTTTATGTCTTTATCTCAACAAGCTTCGGAGATATTAAGGAAAAACCATCTTCAGGGGAGCCCATTTAAAAGACCGTAGCGCCCTTAGGGGACGTTTGTCGACCGATGTTTATATAAACTTTTCTTCCTATTTTCAGCTCTAGAAACCGCTGGTAAAATATTGCACACTTTTTTCGGGACACCATGTATAGTGGGTGTAGCAATAATGATCAAAACAAAATATAAAGATCAAATTAAAGATTGCCAGTACATATCTCAGAGAATACTTTTAGTAAAGATTAGGGCGAACAGCAAAATTATAAACATAATAGGGATATATGCACCAGAAGACTGCAAACCTGACAGCGATAAAGAAGAATTCTATGATGAGCTCCAAACATTAGTGGAAACAGAAGTAAAGCAACATAAATTACTTATATTATTGGGAGATTTCAATGCCAGAATAGGAGACGAAGTAATACCTGGAATAAAACAAAGGTTTAACGAAAGAGTCATCAATGAGAACGGAAAGAGAATCAAACGAACTGAGAATAACCAACACATTTTTTGGTCATAAAATTCAACACAAACACACGTTTGAAAATACATAAGGACAGACATCAATGATAGAATATGTGGTCACAAACAGAAATGTTTACCATAAAGAGATAGCGCATGTGAGAGGTTTGACGTCACCCAACGTGGGAAGCGATCATTATTTGGTACTTGGTAAAATTAGATTCAATGAAAAATGGAAAGAGAATATTAAACAAACGAATTCAGAGGAAACAATAAAAATAGAAAATTTAAGAGATGACCCCATAAAATCATTATATCAAAAAAAGCTAGAACAGAAGATAAAAATAGAAAATATCGAGAATGAAAGCAATGTAGAAACTAGCTGGAGAAAACTCATGAACAATATTCTGGACGCTGCCCGAGAAGCCCTTGGAACGAAAATAATAAACAAAAACAAAAAGTGGTCAACGAAAATACCATGGTTTACACTAGAGGTTAAACAAAAATGTCACCAAAAAAAGAAAACATTCCTAAAATATAAGTCAGATAAAACTAATGAATCATATGAAGAATATAAAAGAATAAGAACTGAAACTCATCAATTGGTAAGAAAAACAAAAACAGATTACTGGGAAAGATTCACAAAAGGAATAGAGATGGATTTCCACGGACAACAGAAACAAGTATGGCGCTTCATAAGACAACAAAGAAGCGAAATGAAAGAACTAGTTGAAATAGAACATATAGAATAGGATACATGGGTGGCCTTCCTGACAGAAATGTTTAAAAAAGAAAACAAAGAATCTTTACTAGAAACGCCAAATATAATAACTGATCAAAAGACCGAAATCTCCCAAGAAGATGTGAAACAAGGAATAAGTAAATTAAAAAATAGAAAGTCACCAGGAGAAGATCAAATACCAAATGAACTCTTAAAATATGGAGGTGATTACCGTGTACAACAACTGCAACTCCTTATTCAAAAAATAATCACCACGAACAGAATACCAGATGAATGGAGGAGGGCGATCATGCTGATGTTCTTCAATAAAGGAGATAAGAAAGACCCCAATAATTATACATCGATAAATCTGTTAAATACAAGACCCAAATTGACAACAAGAATAATAGCGACAAAAATAAACGAACGAATAACTCTGCAAGAGGAACAGCAAGGATTCCGGACAGGAAGATCATGCACTGATGCAGTTTTTGTAATAAGACAAATAAAAGACAAGTCGCTGGAATAAAACAAATACCACTGGATTTAGTAAAAACTATTGAGAATATATACAGAAAATCGAAAACGAAACAGACGCATTTACTGGCAGCTCATTTTTATTTCTTTTTGAAAAACGCTCACACCCGTCGATTTTGTTTTCGATGGGGACACAAGTTTGGCAAAAAATCATGTTAGCACGTGCAGCCCCCTAAGCGGGAGTGACACCAACCCCAAAATCTTAAATGGAAAGGGGTGTCGAGTAATACCTTATTTTAAAGGTCTTTTAATTCCCTTTATAATGATATAAAATTAATGTACTTCAGTTCAGTAGTTTTGAAGATTTACTGATTTAAAGCTTAAATAAAACTAATACATCATCATTAGTGGAGATCAATACATTTGGCAGCAAAGTAAATTAATTTAAAAATGAGGAATTAACTGACCCGTTAGGCAAGTAAATGTTGAAAATGGCTCTCAATGCAGTAATAAATATTTTGGTCAAAACGTTGCCGCACATTTTGCAATATTTGAGGAGTAATTTGACGGCACTCATTCACATTTCTGTGTAGCAGGTCTTCTAATGATGTTGGCTGAGTAGCATAGATTTTGCTCTTTAAATAACCCCACACAAAGAAATCCAAAGGTGATAAATCTGGCGATCTTGGGGGCCATTCACTGGCACCTCTTCTACCAATTCATCGATCTGGAAACGTCTGATCTAAATATTGTTGAACAAGTAATGCGTAATGTGGTGGGGCATCATCCTGTTGGAACATCAACCTATTCGCAATGTACCGCCGATCATTCTGATTATGGCTGTTAATGCACGATCTATGGCGTCTTCCAGTAATTCCAAATACATTTCACCGGTCAAATTTCCAGGTAAGAAAAATGGACCAACTAAATGATCACCAAAAATACCAGCCCAAACATTTAATTTTTGTGGCTGCTGCGTATGAACCTTATGATAAATTCTGGGATTGGAATCGGACCAATATCGGCAGTTATGACGATTTACTACGCCATTTAAGAAAAAGGATCATTCGTCGGAAAAGAAAATGTTCATCGTTTATAATTCGTTCACTCATATCTTCACAAAATAACTTAACTTTCTGATGTCATCTTTTTAGTTAAAATTATTATTTTTATTATTAGTTAATATTTTAAGACATGCAAATTTGTTTAAAAGGTTTTATCAACTGTTCAAACAGGAGATATAGATCTGGTAGAAATTCTTGGTAAATCATTCGACTCTGTCCGTATTTCATTTTAGAGATTTGTCAAATTGTTGTATAACACTCGCAGGCAACACTAAAATATCCTAATAAACCATAGACAACATGGACGATGCCATGATTATAAACCACCCGCCATATTGGGCAAAAATATGTTCCTCTATTGAAAATTAATTAATTATGTTTCAGTTCGACATTACAGATATAAAGTGATTAACATCAGTGTAATTGTGTCTAAATATAGGATTTGTGGAAGATTTAACGCAGATAAGTTCAGTTTTTCATTTTAAAAATCTAAACACACTTTTGATCATTATTAAAATATGAATCAAATACGAACGAAATAAGATGACTGTAATGTGTTAGTTATCGCCTATACAATACATAAGAAATAGTTTGGTTGCAATCAAGTAGAATCATGTAACAGAATAGTTGTATAGTTGACAAAAACTGAATCTTGTACTGACGCAAATATTCTATAGCTGCTGCAAGAGGTTTACACTTTTGTTGTATAACTGTTACCTGCAGCCCTCATACAACCTCTTAAATGACTGAAGTGTCCTATTAGGTGTGCCCATTCCGATTGCATAGCTATTCTAAGAGCGTTTTGCCAATGTTCTTACAGCATACAGTGCTGTGTAAGGAAGACTGTATGATCGTTCTTGCAACTCTAATAGGAGTGATAATCGTTAGTTGGGCGTTTGGTACCTCTTACGGTAAAGCCTAGCTGCAGCTCTAGCATTGCATCTATATTCCCCATAAATGAGGTGCATGTTGGCGTATTCCTCTACATAGAAATTGCGGTACTACACAATTGTGAATTAATAAAAGTGGCGTTACTATGTGTTTTGATGTCACTACGTAGAATGGCACTGTATGTCACTCTCTCTAAGAAAAAACTGAAATTTGTAATGATGGGAACTAAAAGATCAACAAGGTGTCGGTTTTTCTGATTTTTCCTTTTTTTAAGCCTATAATTGTTGAAAACTACACGACTTAGATTTTTTATACTTTTTTGATAACTATTACTTGACCTATCACTCCATTTAATTTATTTTTCCTTGGTCGCACCAGCCTATAATTCAGACGAGGACCTACCCTGATCTTCCTCTTCTTCATCCTCTACCGAAGATTCACCATCTTCTTCGTCTACTTTTTTCTCTTCATCTTTATTCATTTGGCTCGCTCTTTGTCTTCTTTTTTCTTCTTCATTTTCAATGTTAGTCCTCTAAAGACATATTTGAGTTACAGAGTCGCAATTAAATATTTTTCACACAATAAATATTCATCTTTTTGTCTATACATAGGATAAGTTGATATAACATATGATTTCATAAGCACTTGGTAGATTATAAAATATACGTCTGTGAGAATTCTACTATATTCTGCAGTGTTAATATACTGTAATTCACAAGAATGCACGTGCTACATTTTTATATTCGGCAAGGAAAGATGATGTAATCGGCATGATTGTGTTACGTTATACATACGTGTACATTATATCGTTTTATATTAGCCATTTTTTCCTCAGTTGGCTGACAGCGTTCATGCAAGATGTCTCAAAAGTGTGTAAACAATCCAGATCAGTTTTGTTACGTGTGTGGTGATGTGACTTTTTCGTCTCAGAGACGGTCTATTACTCCACTAATAACAAAGGCATATCAGCTTTATTTCTTTTGTAAACTAGGTGATCAAGACAAACAGTGGGCACCCCACATCTGCTGTAATACATGTGCTTCAAGTCTGAGGAGCTGGTTAAATGGCAAAAAACGGTCTATGCGCTTTGCTGTCCCAATGGTTTGGAGAGAGCCTACAAATCATATTAATGATTGTTACTTTTGCATGGTACCTTGTGTTGGACAAGCCACAGGTATGTCCAAGAAAAAAAAATCGGTTATTAACTACCCAAACATACCATCTGCGATGAGACCTGTGCCTCACAGTGACGAAAATCCTATTCCAAAACCCCCAGAATCCTACACTTGCGAATCAGAAAACGAATCAGATCATGGCGATCGAGTGATTCGTCAGGAAGAAGATATGCCATCAACGTCAAGAGATCCTGATTTTATACCGAGCACGTCATGCCACCAACCGCACAAAACAACACAGTCAGAATTGAATGATCTTATAAGAGATTTGAACTTCCAAAGTGTAAGGCAGAGTTACTTGGATCAAGACTGCAGCAGTGGAACTTGTTAGAAGACGATGTTTCGGTATGTGTTTTTCATAAACGCCACAAAGACTTAGAACCATTTTTCAATATGGAGAATAACTTGGTTTTCTGCAGTAACATTAACGGCTTACTGGCGGCTTTAAATTAATATAAACTATAACCCAGAAGAATGGAGATTGTTTATAGACAGTTCAACATTGAGTTTAAAGGCAGTGTTATTGCATATTGGAAATATTTTACCATCTCTTCCTGTAGGGTATGCAGTTCACATGAAAGAATCATATGACAATATGAAGTACCTATTGACATGCATAAAATACGATGAGCACCAATGGCATATTTGTGGCGATTTGAAAGTTGGTGCACTTTTACTTGGGCTGCAGCTAGGGTACACAAAGTTTTGCTGTTTTTTGTGTGAATGGGACAGTCGAGCAAAGGCACTTCATTACACCAGACAAAACTGGCCTGTTCGTCAATTCCTAGAGCCAGGTCAAAAAAATGTACAGCATATGCCATTAGTAGATTCGAAAAAATTTTTATTACCACCACTGCATATCAAGTTGGGCCTAATGAAAAACTTTGTCAAGGCATTAGATAGAGATGGGTCAGCTTTTCAATACCTGCGTCAGAAATTTCCAAGACTAAGTGAGGCAAAGGTTAAAGAAGGTATTTTTGTTGGGCCACAGATTCGAAATATTTTGAAAGATACACAGTTTGAAAACACTTTAACAGGTATTGAAAAAACTGCTTGGAATGATTTCCGTCTGGTGGTCACTAATTTCTTGGGAAATAGAAAAGCTGACAACTATAAAACCGTTGTCAAAAATATGCTGTCATCGTATCAAAAGATGGGCTGTAATATGTCTCTTAAGATACATTTCCTACACTCACACCTGTACTTTTTTCCTGACAATTGCGGAGCCGTAAGTGATGAGCACGGCGAACGTTTTCATCAGGATATTTCAACAATGGAAAAGAGGTACCAGGGAAAGTGGAATCCTTCCATGCTTTGCAGACTACTGTTGGACTCTTGGTAGAGATGCTCCAGAAACGATCCATAAAAGAACAGTAAAAAACAGCGCATATAGTGATTCTTATAAGTATATGAATCTTGTTACTTTTTTTAATATATCCTTAAAAATAAAAAGTTTTTTTTCTAAACCGCAACTAATTTTTTATTTCATTGTCATTTTTGGATTCAGCGCCCTAAAATTAACAAAGAAGTGCACTTTTCCCACAAGATACAATTAAAAAACTAAAATTTGTTGTCCAGTGCAATTTATTTTCCCAAAAACATTTTAGATACACTCTAGTCGTAAAAAATACATATTTGAAATCACTTAAACCTATAACTAATAGAACATCTGAACAAATAAACAATGTGCGAATAAATGCGCGAAGTTAACAAAGCAACAGTTGGAAGATTACCATTGGGTAACATCACCTTTATTATTTATTACGGCTGAAATTCTTTGGGGAATAGTTTTAACCAAGTTTTGGAAAAAATTTGGTGTAAAACAATCCCATATTTCTTGAAGCTTTTGTCTCAGTTCGGTGATTGTACGAGCAGGATGTTGTCGTAGAACCTTTTTCATCTCGTGTCACAAAGTTTCAATAGGTGACAGATCTGGACTGCTAAAAACTCATTTCAAAAGTGGTACATTATTTTCTTCCATCCATGTTATAGCTTTTTTGAGGTATGGCACGCTGCACCATCTTGCTGAAACACAAAATCTTGGCCGGGTGTCAAACATTCTTCCATCACTGGTAAAAGCGATTCTCCTAAAATTGCCAAATATTTGTTTGTATCCACAATAAAATGAAGTTTTCCTACTCCTTTTGATGACATACTGCCCCAGACCATATAGATGCTGGAAATTTCACTTTTCTCTTCAGACAGTCAACATGGAATGCTTCATTTTTTTTGCGAATAACTCTAATGCGACTGTCACCAACACAAACTTCGAATCGAGCCTCATCACTCCATTGTATTGCACACCATTGTTGCGGTGTCCATTAGCCCATCTAAGCCGATTTTCCTTTTGCAGTGAAGTTAATAGTGGCTTTTCTTTGGCCTATAAACAAGTTGTGCAACTTTAGGGTTTTACTTCACTTTTTTTATAAGAAAACTTACCTTGAAAGTGCTAAATCCCAGTTTGTGGGCCTCTCTATGAGTTATGGACCTCGAAATTATCCTTCCAACAGCATCACTCCACAGAGCACTTAATTGTAAATAATTGGCACGCCTGTTTTTCACGATTATTCTTCTTAATGCTCTTCGGTCGGCATTTGTGATATTACTTTTTTTCACATATCGTGGCTTAATAGTTACGTTATATCTTCTAACAATATTTCTCACACTGTACCGCGATAAGTCTAACAAAGTTGCAATATCTGAGTTTGATTTCCCAGAATTAAAAAAATTAATTATCAGTAACCGAATTTTCTCACTAATAACCTTTCCTCTACCCATTTTGAAAACCTTAACTACCCAAAACTATTTTAAACGTATTCTGACAGCTGTGATTAATAAAAAAATTGTCATGGCTTTTATTTTTCACAGCCTCCTATGCGTTATAGACTTATTTTGCATTGATATGAAAATAGGTTGATATGCTGTAATTGCAACATGTGTTATTTTTATGCTGCAAATTTGATTAGGGAGTGATAAAGTTGGTGTTTTCTACTATATATTATCAAAATATTCATTGTTAATATTTTAAACTTATAACACCCTGATACATTTTTATTATTTGTGTTTGATAAGAAAAAACCTAAGATTTCAATAGTTGGGCCAACTGAAGTGGGAAGGGGCTTGTATGTCAGGCTATAATAAGCATTTCAGTGACATATGTACCAAAGATTTAAGATAACCGAGATAGTAGGTTCCAAAAAGCAATAAATGAGTCAGTATGACCCTGTCACCCTCCCCTCCCACAATCCTCTCCTACGTCAAAACGTATGACGTATTAGGACTATGCGAGTCAGTATCCAAATCAGGCATCGCGTGGTGTCTGGGTTAACATAGTTTATAATCAAACCGCGTTAGAAGAACCGAAATTGGCACATTCCTAGTAATCGATTTGATATGAGCATCTTCAAGATCCTATTGATATTGATACTCCGCGAGTATACTCAGAACGTTGCCGTAACCTCGATATTTTTTCCCATCAGAGCAGCAGATGTTAGTTTATATTATACAAAGCCGACTGATTCAACACAGCTGAAGATCTAGACAGTCCCTGATGATATTGCAGCCTCTTGGGCTTATTGTACCTTGCTCCTCGAAATTACAGTACCCAATCCAGCAGTCTAGTATACTAAGTGACATATAAATCCGAACACCCAGTTTAAATGGTTTTATTTTAATAAAACTTTGTATAAGTACTTAATGAAGCATAATAAGTAAATGATAAAAATTTCAAAATGATTGCACTGCTTTAAAGCCCTTTGACCTTTAATAATGTGTGGATGCACCCTGATGTGCTACGCATTCTCCAACGCGC